CTGCTTATCGTAGGCCGTCGAATCGATGTGTTGACAAAGTATCCATTGGCAGCCGTGTTCAGGAAACGAACGAGGTAATCGTTAAGCGTACAAAGTGCTGCCGCCGCGGACGGCTATTGTAAATCGGCAAACGCTGACGCATTGAGGATGGGTTTTGTTTGATTGCGAGTTCTGTCGGTTCGAGCACGTTTCGACGGCACGTCGACAGGGCGACGGGGCGACACGGACGCGCATGCGCCTCGACGTCGCTCGAGCGTTCGGCCTCAATCACAGCGGTCCCTCGTTGCGTGGTAGACACTGATCTGTGACGCACTGCACGCCGAGGTGCACCAGCCGACACCCTCACCAAGACCGCGCCTCAACTACTAACAGCACCAGCTACGGTGTGTGCGGTCCGCTGCCAACGGCAGCGAGAAATCGCCGGCCAAATGAACACCGTTGACCAACCGATGTGACAGGTACCAGACCATGTCTCTCACACGGGAGGAACGCCTGCATGGTTCGTTTATCGGCAAGCAAGGCACCAAGCCACTGGCTCGTCACTTGTGGACGCAAAAGCCATAAGCAGTTAGGAAGCACATCATATGCCACAGAATACCGAAAGGATATTTGTTCGCGATTTTCGACGAGCAATATTTTCCTAGCCGATATAGTGAACACGTCATAATATGAAAATGTGAAACGCTGACGGATGAGTGGATGGACATCACGGAAAATCTTCAGCAACAAGGCAGGCAAAAGTGATGAGACGACAACAAAGCAACAATCGGCTAACTAGCAGCCTTTGAGTCAATGCGATCTAGAGGGCAGGGGACAAGCAAATGTTTTTGTCTTGCAAGAGCAACCGTCCATGTACTGTCTAGACGCGTCTGAATACTTCTAAGGACTAATAAACAACGTCTACAACTCACTGGCGATGGCTCATTACCCTCAAGGTTTCTTGCCTGTTCGAGGAAGGCGCAAAGCTGTCAAATTGTTTGCCAAGCGACCATATAATAGCACTGTAAACAAGTAGAGAAAACGAGCATTGTGCGCACCGTGTTTTAGCGCGGTGCGTGTGCAATGGTCAAATAAATAGCTGTATCCCCGGCTGGACCGGATGCTCGGCATAAGTCTGGTAAGTGGGCATCTCGCGACTCAAAAATTGTCCCGTACTCTCGTTCTTTCTCCTCTTTCTTACTCGTCCTCTTTGGCCTTGACGTCATTCGTGCTTAAGTTGCCGATTCTGTGCTGTCCTTTTGCCGGTCCAAGTCCACGTCCTCGTCAGGCGCGGCTGCGTCACACGGCCATTTAGGAATGTCGAAGAATGACGCGAATTAACTGCTCGACCGTTATTGTTTCGAATGACCAATGGCTGGCGAAAAGAAATTAATTTGTCGACCAAAATTAGCCAATTTAACGGCATTCTCGCACTATCAATAGACTGATGTGGAATCGCCGGAATAAATAAACTATCGGTTTCATGACTAGCCTGAGCGTTAATTAAAAACCGGGTCCATTTTGAGTGAAAAATATGGCATTAACGCCGCTAAGGGTGTTGTTGAACGATAAGGCTATTGCGTCTATCTCTTTGCTGACAAACGATCCCGAAGCTTATATGCAACTAATCCATGTCTACTTGTTTCTTAAGTGAAATTTCTTATTGCACCACGGCTGACAATATAGCGTTTATGTGTTTTGGCGAAGAAATCCCACCGATCGTACTTGTCATTCCATCGATCGGCCGTCGTCGTCCGTGTCGTGCCGTCCGACGCGGCACCGCGTCCACGTCGGACGGTGTCCGCTTCGACGGCGACGCGAGGGCGGACGAGGATGGACAACGTGAACTCAAAGAACGTGAACGCTAACGTGATCGGCATTCGGTCGTCCTCATCCAGTGGCCCTTGCCGCCGGTGCCGAACTGCGCTCAGTGGTCGCCGCCGACGACCGCCATCGAAAGGCGCCATACTGTGGCCGTGGCGGTAGCTGCCATCCGACGGTCGGCGAGCCCATGTACCGTAACGAACCGAACCGTCGACGGTTGCCGGATAAAAACCCCCGTCGCGATTCTAACGCCGCCGCTAATGCGATTCACTGTTCGGCTTTCAAGTGCACCGCATTAGCGTTAGTTACGAGCGGCCGGTGAGCGTTCCCAGTTCGTTCACTGAACGTTCTCGTTGAGGTGTCTTTCCGTCAT